CACTTAGTGTATTAAGAGCTAAACAATAACATCTAATAAATACATGGGGACCAAATAACCAAGGAAAAGTCAAAACAAGGCTTTCAGTTAGATTTTTCAATGGTATGAAGCCTAAGTGTCACAGGATTTGTTAGCCACCTATGGGAGTCTTTTGTAGGAGTTTTTACATCTGTTATTTCCTTAAAGTTTGGCCACCACTGCCCTCATCCAGGCCTTCATAACTCCACGCCTCCTTACTTCAGTAGCTTTGTTTCAATATTTTCCTGCTTCCAGCTTTTCTCCCTTAAATTGTTCTTTCTCAAATGTCTTTATGGGCAGAAAATGATGAAAAAAGATAAAATCAAACTGTGAAGACGGGGAAGAAATAAATAAATGAAACATCTAAACTTATGCAACATAAAACACCATTTGGGGCCAACAGACATGCCATATATCCGCATGATCGATAACTGGCAAAGAGTGGTTGGAACCCAAAGTGCTCAACAAGATTTATGATATACTTAAAAAAATTAAGTTTAGCTTTTAGCCTAATGTCCAGACACTGCAGACACTGGAATCTAATTTACTATTTATTGGAATACTAACTTGTTGACAGCACATTTTATGTGCCTTATTTCATCATTAAGTATAAAAGCTCAAGAAAGCAATTTGATTTTTATCTTTTTTTTACTTAAAACTATCTAACTTGTTTTCAAATATTCTTAGGGAAGCTAATTTATCATGCTTATTACAACGTGCTGAACTGGGCTGAAAACAAAACGCCAGCAAATAAAAGCCCTGGCAAATTTTACCACTTGAAATCAGACAATCATTTAAATACCAAGATTACCAAACAAACAATAAAACAACCTGTAAGAAACAAATAATAACCTCATGCTTAATCAAAAAAACCCCACCAAATTTGAATTCATAATGGCTTCATATTATAATTTCTTCAGAAAGAGACTTGAATTTAAATATTTTCTCTCTCAATTTTTCCATGCCATATGACACTATCTGAATGCAAAACAAAAACTTAACTACACAGACAATATGCCTGATTTTGTTTTGGAACAAGCACAGTACTGAAATGAAAGCTGCTCCTCAAAGTTAGCACAATGGGAGGCGACACACTCATTGCAATCATCCTGCCATTGCCCTGGGCTCCTCTGTAGGAATTACACCACTCTGTATGGAAAAAACTCTTGTCATTTTAGAGTTGGAGTTTGTTTTAATTAAATATGGTATTTAAAAAACCAAGTCTATTCTTAAAGGAATTAACATCAGCCACCACTAAAAATATTCAAAAGAGCACAGAGCAGGTTCAGAAAATTTTGAACAGGGACGTTATTGTGCTATGGACATAACTTTCAAGGGCAATACAGAGGTGAAGACAGCACTCATTTGAATTTGTTTTAGCAGTTGTCTTGTTACCAGAATGTTCATCCCAGAGGAGAAGGTAAGCAAGGAGGAATCTTAAACCTCAGACTAGGGTTGTCAAATACTGTTTACAGTGGCGAGTTATGTTTTATAGACATGGTAATTCTCATTTTGGCTAGAATTACTTTCCCCAGATACATGGGGTACAAGAGAAAAAAACCCTCTACAGGTCCATATCATCTATGGCCACACTTTTACTAGAACTATTGCACATACTGACTTTAGGTCACTTGCAATTACTCTCTTGGTCATGAGATATATGACTAAGGTACACAGGTGCATGACTAAGACAGTTATTTCTGGGAAAGTCAGGTTCTAATTAGCCCAGGAAGGAGTGGAAGGCCCCACTGTCATACACACTCACCAGAAAGAAAGAGGGTCCAACAGTATGATGTAGGATGATGCTTCATCCAAAACCTCATGAAGACAACTAATTGCTCAGACCCGATGCCTCTGTGTCTTGGGAGATTTAGCCTCTGGACAGCCCTGAGGATTACGATGTGATGGTAAGGAAGAACTAAACCATAAACGAAGGCAGGACCTCTGACTATTAAGGCTTAAGGAACATGGAGACAGAAGGTACCAGGAATTGTCAGAGGCAGAGAAGGGGCTATGTGTGTTGAGAATAAGCTGGAGAAGCTTGCTGCATAAAGGAACCGGTGGCCAGGCTGCAACTGGTACCAGCTTCCTTCAGGGGCAGGATGCCTGACCACAAAGTATGTGCCTCAGTGAAAAACCCAAAGCCGGCTCTGTTCTTGTCACTGGGATTTCAGCAACCACTGTATCAGAATGACCCTCTGAGTGTACCTGTAGCCGCATTACTACTGCGGCTCCCTAAATTATCTCCCTGCTTCCATTCTTGCTCCTTCTAATCCACTCTCTACACTGCAGGCAGATGGATCTTTTTAAAATACAAATCTGATCACCATAGCTAAGATATATTTTTTACTCCATTAGACACTACATAGAGCAATTTATTTACTCCTTAAACTTATGAAGCAGACAGAAATATTATCCCTGTTTTATAATGAAAAAGCTGAGGCAAAGACAAATAACATCCCCAAAATCACACAGGTAGGAAGTAGCAGAGGTAGGATTTGAACCTGGGCTGTTAACATTATTTTACAGTGATTTCCGTGCTTATGCTTCTCATCACCCTGAAGACAGTATCTAGAATCTATGTCCTGCTTTATGAGATGCTCCATGATCTAGTCCCTATCTGACTCTCCAATCTCATTTCATATGTTCTCCCTCATTGTTCACGCTCTACCTACATACTCTTCACACGTTTGTACAACATGTATGCATAAGTATATAAAGAAATATACATATATTTGTACATGCACATATATTTACATACCCATACATAATTATATACATTTTTGTGAATATGTGAATACAAGAGGCTTTTGGTGCAATGATTAAAAGCATGGACACTGGAGCCAAATTTGCTGACTTTGTTGAAATCCTGACTCTGCCACTTATTAGCCATGGGACCTCTAGTGGTTATTCACTTCTGTATTTCTAAGTATTCTCATCTAATAAAATGGAGAAGATGGAATTTACCTCCTGGGCTCACAGCAAGGGTGAAACAAGCTAATGTATATATAGCACTGAGAATAAGTGCCCGGCAGGCAGTGAGTACTACATAACGGTAAAAGTTCTTTTCCAAATTTGCCTATGAAACTAAGTTCCTTCTGCCTGAAATATTATTCTTTTTAACCTTGCCAGCTCCACCTACCATCCTTCAAGATTCAGCTTAAACATCAGTTCCTCAGCAGCCCTTCCTGATGCCTCTAGGTTCGATGAGGGCCCCCCATTATGCCTGCCCAGGGCACCCTGTATTTCCTTTGCAGAAAGCATCACCCTGGGCACTGTTGTTTATGACTGTATTGTCTGAGAGACTGTAAACTCCATGAGGGCAGGGACTACGTTTGTTTTCAACACTGCAGTATTCACTGTACCCACAACTTTGCCTGCTGCAGAGGAGAGGCTCAATAAATGTCTGCAAATAAATGAATGAAGCCCATGGGACCAAGCACCTTAATCTGCCCCTGCGGATTTGGGGTAGACATCAGTGAGGAAGTCACACAGGAGTCTGGACTTGAAGGATACATGCATAAGAGATTGTTCTTTGGAGAGAATAAGAGGGACTTCTAGATAGAATGGGACTGCAAACACAGAAATGTGACACGCCTGACCATATAGAGATGGTGAGGTCACAACATCATAACTTTGGGGGCTGAAAAGAAGCAAAAATCAGGAAGAAGAAACCCCTTGCTTTATGGATAAGAAAACTGAGTTTAAGTTACTTTTTCAACGGTTTGTAATTAATTACTGACAAAGCAGACCTCTTAAACGAGTGCTCTTTTTACTGTGCAAAGACTTGTCAAGAGGTCTCCTCTCCCTCCTGTAAGAAATAAACAATGAAGACGGAAAGAAAGAACTACCTTGTGTTCAGAATTTGAGAGAGGCTTCATGGTGATTGTACCCAAATGGGACACTTAAATGTCACCTGCAAATGGGGATCTCTCATTCTGTTTACTGAAGGACTAATCTTCTTGGGTGATTTCCAGCACTGGGGTAATGAGACGGCCAAAATTTAGCGGAACTAAATGTTCAGCAAAGTACAGCTCCTGCAGTAAATTTTGGAGCTCCCCACATTGCCACTGCTCTATATTTAGAGAAATATTAGGTAGAAGATTGTCTATGCCAATGAAGTAAAGAGGAACAATAACACCACTTTGGAAAGTCAGGCATGAGAATTCCAGAAGAGCCATTTATGCTGCAGAAATGGTGAGCCATATTTCCAATTAAACTGGAGCAATGAAGGTCAACTATGACCTAATGCTTTCCTTCCCTTTTATCATCTCTATGAAGCTTCTTTCCTCTTTGTTATAAACTGGTTCATGGATGGGAGAAGGATGATGTAACATGCGTATAACACTTTTACAGAATATCAACTTGGGAAGACCTGTCCAGGCTTTGACAGACAGAACCTAAATGTGAAGTGAGCTAGACAAATTGAAGCACTGGCCTGAGTGAAATGATGTGTGATTCAATGAGGGGATACGCATTTCACTTCAGAAAGAAGCACACACTTGATTAATAGAAAATGGAAAAGAGGTGATTAGTTGACAATGTGGAGAAAAGACCAAGGGCATCACAACATTTCCTGTCAATTATAAAGCCAATGATGCATTTTGGCAACTCAGGAGGCAAAATGCATTTTGAGGTTCCTGAGCAGGCAGACAGGCGGGAGGAAAAGAATGTGTATAGAGAAGGAGCCTGGGCTTGATAGAACAGGAAGAGCGGTGGTGGAGAAAGCAGCAGCGGTGGAGGAAAAGTAGGTAGATACAACCGATGATGGACCTTGAGTGAGAGAGTAAGTAACTGTTCAATTGAGTAATTAGTAGTAAGGTCAAGCTAATATGAGAGTCATACAATTCAACTTAACCTACAACTCTGAAGCGCACAGAAAATGCAGCTTCTTTACTTTGTCTAAAACTAGTTAGGGAAGTCTTCATCCTCTGGTTAGCAGGATAAGGTGAACTTTCAGTTCGACCCAATTTAAATCTTACTTGGAACTGATGTTTCCCAAGAATTCTTTACTAAGTGCTTATTCTCTCTCGGATCAAGACGTCGAGTCTGTCAGAAGGCTTGGCTTCCCCACTCCCTCGCTGCTTCTCCCTAAGAGGTCTGGCTGACTTCATATCATGAATGGGAAAGTGGAATTCTTGGGCACAGTCTCCAGGTGACGCCCATTGTCTGCCTGGTTGCTGCATCATGGCTGGGCTTGGGACAGATGTAACCCACGGGCAGACCTTTCCCTCTCGGTTTGGTCAGAGCCCCGGGGTTGTTTTGCAGGCGACACAATCCAAGCTCCCCTGCTGTGGATGGAGAGCCCCAAGCCTTAGGCCCATGCTCCATCCAGTTTATTCACCCCAGGCCTTTTGTGAGGTCACTTCTGTCATGGAGACTAGCAGTGGCTCTCAACTCAGCATATGTAACACACAGTAACTGAAGGCACCTTGGGAAAGTTAAACTTCAGGGTCTCTTGCTGCCATGACCATGATGTGGCCATGCCCAGGTCTGTCGGCAGGGGTAGGGAGGGGGCGATTGTCGTAAGGTAATCTCTTTCCAGAGTCCTAAGTAGAGAGCAGAGGCAAGTTGCCCTCAGTGTTACCTAGTTACCTACTTATGTTCACTGATCTAACCCACTTCCCCTTTTCTGAAGCAGAACCCGAAGCACAGAAATGGGGAAGCAAGTCTACCGAGCTCTGCCTCTCTCTGTCTCTTTCCACCATTCTCCTAGAGACTACAGCGGGTAGGCCCTGGCCCCATCCTGTGGACAAAATGGGCCCTTTTCTCTACATATTGGATATACAGGGTCAGAGTCCTACTGATACTGTTGGTTGCTGGTTGATACCTTAAAGAAGTGATTATAGGAATTCAGAGAAATCTTCTCTCAAGCTAATAGTCTGACCTGCAAGGTTTTGGTCTTGCTGCATAATCCTTTCTTGTACGTGAGACAGTATTTCCCGAATATTCTTCCCATTCACATTCCTTCTGCACCAGACACTAAGCACCCCTCAGGTAGACAATTGCCTTTGGTCAAAGGTCTTTTGCTGTGCTCAGGAAGGCAAAAGAAAAATGCACACGAATAATTTCATTACACTAGGTTCTTGATCAGAAGACAGACTTAAAAAGGTGAAAGCCAGAAAGAAATTAACAGTGGTTGAGTGCTTTCCATGTGCCAGGCACTTTCTGTTATCCCACTCAATTCTCATAACAGTCGTGGGAGATAAACACTGCCCCATTCATTTTAGAGAGGGGTCACCTATGTGTCAAAGAGATCAAGCTATTTGCCCACAGTCACAGGACTGGTAATTTGCAGACCCGGAATTTGAGTCTCAGTCAAAAGCAACAAGATTTATTCTGTTTCTTCTATACCCCATAAATGACAGAATATGCTGCATTTTATTGAACCTGAAATATCATCAGTTGTAGCTGCTCCAGTATTGTACATTCTACCAAAAAGGAAATGCACTGCCAACTACACTGTGACACACCACTTATTTGTAAGACAAATCCCGATTTCTGAGATGCAAAAATGTGGAAAAAAACCATGAATCTTTGAATGAGTGAAATCTGGTAAATACTGTTTAAGGAAGATTATTTGAGCGGCTGTGTACAGTTTGGACCAGAAGACAAAAACACCCAGGGTAAGGAAAGATCAGAGAAAGGTTGCCATAGTCACTCAGCTATTAAGAAACGGAAGCCTTAGTAAAGACAGAGCCTTGCGAAATGGAAGGAAAAGGTGAACTTCTAACAAGCACTGTGGCAAGTGAATCAACAGAAACAGCAGCAGTTTGGGTCTAGGTTGTAAAGGGTGAAGAATGGACCATAAGCCAAGGTTTTAAAGTCTGGATGTCTGGGAAACAGCAGCAGTTGGGAAACTGGGCAAAGGGAGAAGGATGGGTTCTGTTTTAGATATATTAACATTCAAAAACCAGAGAATTATCTTCATGTGACGATGGAGAGGAGAGAGCTGGAGAGGCTGATTTTGCCCACACACAGGCACCAGCTTAGGGAGACGATGACACTCTAACTGGGGGTCTAGGGACAATAAAACACCAGGTGGACAGGTCTGGACCTGCACTGCCAAAGGAAACACGAAGCGAAGAAGAGGTGGTCAAATTCCAGACCAAAAAGGCCTTAGAAGGCACCTTCACCACAGATGAGCAGCATCCCTTTGGTGCCTTCAGGTGGCCTCCCAACATCACTGTGAGGCAGAAAGCAGGTGTGGCCAGATCTTCCTGCTGGCAGGAGCTGCAGGTTTCATTCTCACATTTCCCTACACACCTAGGAACCCAACACTTGCCTGTCAGAGAGAAGGCCTTTCAAGGGCTGGGGCCAGCACACCGGAGTTTAATTGCAAGGGCATATGGGGAGAAATTTTTAAAGCTATTTTTAGCAAAGTTGCAAAAGGTAACAAATGGCATCCACCAAGACAAGGGCTGTTCATCTAAGATTGAGAAATAAGTGTTTCCATCACCTGCCTCTCTTGATTCCAAATGCAGTTTAAGTCTTAAGACAGCATGCAAATGAACTGCTGATCATAAGTTTTAGTCTGTTGTCACACATGTTACATACCGTCACTCAGTCCTCATTCCAGAGCACTTTTGAAAGCTGCATTAACTATTTCAGGTTGTGTAGCCTATTAATGCACTATCCAAGTGTTATGAAATGAAAGAAAAAATTTCTAATTTGACAAGTGGAAAATTTTTTTTCTTAATTATCTGGATTTTTTTTTTCACATGTACAAATGAATTTCCATTCCCACGGCAGCTCCTCTAGTTAAGTCTCTCTGTCACTCGAAGCTAGACCTCTGTCACCAGGAGGTCAGGCTCTCTTCTCTGTTAGAATGGCCCCACCCTGATGCTGCTCCCATCTAGAGCTGCACAGTCCAGCATGGGAGCCACTGGCCACACATGGCTGTTGAGCCCCGAAACATGGCCAGTCCAAATTGAGATGTGTTGTGAGTATAAAATATACACTAGACTTTGAAGACTGAGTATGAAACAAAGAATGTAAAATACCTCATTAATAATTAATAATTTTTTTTTTGAGGAAGATTAGCCTTGAGCTAACTACTGCCAATCCTCCTCTTTTTGCTGAGGAAGACTGGCCCTGAGCTAACATCCATGCCCATCTTCCTCTACTTTATACGTGGGACGCCTACCACAGCATGGCTTTTGCCAAGCGGTGCCATGTCTGCACCGAGGATCTGAACCGGTGAACCCCAGGCTGCCGAGAAGCGGAACGTGCGCACTTAAGCTCTGTGCCACCGGGCCAGCCCCTAATTAATAATTTTTATATTGATTACACATTGAAATGATAATGTTTTGGAAATAATGGCCTAAATAAAATATACTAAAATGAGTTTTACCTGTTTCCTTTTACTTTTTAAAATGTGGTTAGTGGGAAATTTAAAATTACATTTGTGGCTTGTACCTGTGACTCACATTATATTTAATTTTCATTAGTCCTGGTCTAGACTCTTGCTTCTGGGTTTTAGTCATTTAATCAATAAATTCACTTCGATCAACCAGCATTTATAATGTACACAGTATGAGCCAGGTACTATTAAAAAATGCTGGTGATATAAAGATATAAATAATATGATTTCTGACTTCTAAGAACTCCCAGTTAGTGGGGGAAGGGCATTTTTAAAAGCAATTAAAACAAAATGACAAATGTTATTAAAGATTAGGAATAAAGTACTATGGAATCTTAAAGATGGAAGTTTACTGTTTTTTAAAGAATGCGTATAAATTTTTCTAGTCATTTGAATAGGGGACAATTTAAGGGCACCCCAAACAGTGCACACAGTGGGTGTGAAGACTTGGGGAAAAGGAAGAACATGCTTGGAACCGAACGTAGTTTAGAAAGGCTAATAAAGCAGGCTGCCTGTGGGGCATGGGGACAGATAAGAGCCACTGGTAGACAGGCGTGGGAAAGAGAACCCTGAACGCCATGCGAAGAAGTGCAGACTATATCTGGTACATGAAAGAGTCAGATCTGTATTTCAGAAATACCACTGCAGCAATACTGTGCAGGATGGACTAGGTGGTTAAGGTGGGTAGAGGGCTGACGCTGGTGAAGAGAAGGAAGAGATACAGGTAAACAGACTGACAGGGTATCTACTGCCACAGTCAAAATGACATTAATACTGATTTGAACAAACAAGACAGACGAGAAATATTTAGCGAGGGAGAATCTGCAGGTCTCTGGGATTTACTGGATGTTAAAGGTGAAGAAAAAGGAACAGGCTTATGAACTCTGGTGCCTAAGATGAAGTGAGATAAATACTAGATGCCCCCTAAAGAAACAGACTATCAGAAGGTGTACTTAAGGAATGATACTAAGTTGAATGGCTGGACTCAAATGAAAATTGCTTTCAAAATGGAGGTGTCCAAAGTGCCCAGATCAGTCAAATGCCCCCTGAGAGGTCCCTGCCCTAAGCAGGTTTACTCCTGGCTCAGGGTACTAGTGGCAGTTGGGTGGGGAGGATTTATAAGAGTTCAGAGAGTAGAAGGGGGAGCTATCTGGGAATTGGAAAAGACTGCTTGAGAAAGTTAGGCCTTGAGCGGGAGTCTGAAGGACAGGGGTGGAAGAGAAAGGGTATTTCTGATAAGAGAGGAGAAATGAAATAGATATAGCCAATGAGATTTTAAGTCAGGAATAAGCAATCAGCAAGATGTGCTCCAAGGACAGGCCGAGAATGGCTTGACTAGCATGGAGTTTTTATGTTGTGAAGAATGGAGATGAAGTTGGAGAGACAGCTGGGGTCATATTAAAGAGGGACCCTGAAGGCAGCAAACAGCCATTAGAAGCTTTTAAAGAAAGGAAGTGACAACACGACATTTAAGGAAGATGACTGGTGGTGTTTTATAGAAGAACTCAAGTAGGGCAATGGTGTAGGCAGTTCTGCTAGCACACTTTTAATAATCCCTACTAAATGTCAAACACTCTTCCAGGCCCTGGGGACTTAAAAATAAACGAGAACTAGTCTCTTCCTCCAGGACTCGCAACCTACTGGGGGTAAGGAGGGAACGAGATGAGTTAAGATGCTTTTGTCCATCCAATTTTTGAAGCAGTGAGGGTTAGACCAGTCTCAGCAGTGAGAACGGACAGGAAACATCTGAAAGCAAGAACGGATGGCACCTGCGGATATAATTACAAGCCCTTTATTTATTGGGTCCTGCACCACCTGCTTTTGCCTCGATCTGTCTTTATTTTTCTCAGTCTCTTGCCCTTGTTCTTCCTGTATATCCTGTTCTCTGTAGCCGAGGCCCTTGAACACTGGCAAATCAAATAACGTATAATTTAAACATCTTGTCCTTTTCTGAAGCCATGTGTGTTCTCTGCTCTGAGTGGGCTTGACTTTCTTTTTGTTTGTATCTCTGAGCAATCAACGTGCATACACTACACACAGAATGAATTGAAGTTCACATAATCAAAGAGTCTAGTGCATTTTCATTAAATATCTTAGCTCAAATGAAGAATAAAGGAAATACTAAAAATCAGCCTGCCAAACAGGCATACAGATAAAGATATATGGCCTTGCTTAAAATATAATTCCATATTCTATCCATTTAATTTAATAAAGATGTAACTAAATGGCCTACTATGTGTCAGATGCTTGACTAATCACTGGGATGAGTTGAATAAAACACAATTCCAGTCTTGAGAACTTTTAGACCTTAAAGACAGGTGATGAGAAGTTTACCTAACCAGCTGTCTCATCATCTGCACTGCTCACTCTAGTCCATGCCATGACCATTTCTTACTTGTACTATCTTCCTGCTTCTACCATTCCTCCCCACCTCCATTCTAGTGTCCACACAGAGCTTGAGTGAATCTCTTAAACATAAAAGTCACATAATGTCACTCTTTCCTTTCTTGATCAGTAAAATTCTAAGTCCTTAATCTTGGCCCATAAGGTCCCATGTGATCTGAATTTGGTGTCATCTCTTACAATTATTTCTCTTACTCACTCCACTCACACTTGGCTCCTTTACTAGTCCCTAGAATATTCTAAACATGCTCCCACCTCAGACCCTTTTCCTCGCCGCATATACCTGGAATTCTCCTTCCAAAACATCTGCATGACTTGCTCCATTATTTTCTGCAGATCTCTGCTCAAAGGTCATCTTATCCTTGAGTCTTTCTCTGACTACCTGGCATTCCCAAACCCTTATCCTGTTTTACTTTTCTTAAAAACATTTACTCAATAAAATGCATCTACTACCACTGGAATTTATTGTTTCTTGTCTTCCTCCACCAAGAATATTGAAAGCTCCACAAGAAGAGGGTTCAATTAGTTTGCTCCTCTATTCCCAGCACTTGGAATGTTGACTGGCACGTTGTCGATGGTCAAGAAATACTTTTTTTTTGAGGAAGATTAGCCCTGAACTAACATCTGCTGCCAATCCTCCTCTTTTTGCTGAGGAAGACTGGCCCTGAGCTAACATCTGTGCCCCTCTTCCTCTACTTTATGTGTGGGACGCCTGCCACAGCATAGCTTACCAAGTGGTGCCATGTCCGCACCTGGGATCCGAACTGGCGAACCCCAGGCCACCGAAGCGGAACGTGCGCACTTAACCGCTGCACCACTGGGCTGGCCCCAACAAACACTTCTTGAATGAACTGGATAAATGATTAAGAGTTAGGCATAGGATTTTACAGGAGCAAACAGGAGGGTACATGGCATATGCTAGAAGGGATGGGGGGATGAGAGGCAGCATATGTTTGGGCTGAGACTTCATTCATTCATATGCTCATACAGGCATTTATTCATTCACTCAATACATCTTATGGAGTTTTACCACGTGCCAGGCACTATTCTAGGACCAGGAATGTAGCTGTCATGAAAACAGACAAGTCCCTGTTCCTGTAAAACTTACAGTCTAGTAGGAGAAAGATAATATGCAAGCCAAATTGACATATGCTACGCAAGGAACTAAAATATCCGATATCAACACATGCTATGCAAAGAACTAAAATAGGCTGATGTAGAAGACAGCACCTGAGATCGGGTTGCTAGGGAAGCATCTCTAGGAAGTGCCATTCCAGTGGAGACTGAAGGACAATAAGAAAGGACCCATTAGAAGAAGATAGGAGGAGCTTTTCTACAGAGAGAGAACAGCCAGGGCAAAATCCTTAAATAGGGATGGGCTTGAAGTGCTCAAAGAACCAAATGGAGGACAACAGCTGCAGGGCAGTGGTTAAGGAGGAGAGGGCCACGACTTAAGATCAGATAGCAAGCGTCTTAAAAATGGGTAGGACTTGGGAGGTGAAGCAGGGGAAGAACTAGCTTTAGAAACATGCAGGCAGAGAGCACAGAAACAAAGGCATGGAAGCAGGAAATAGATCGGTACGTTTAAGTAACTTTAGGAAATTCATTTCTCCTGAGTTCAATACACAACAAAGATGGAATCCAGAATAGAGCATGGGTAAACTGGGTTTTTCATGAAGCTTCTGGCACTACATTTTGTTGTAGTTGAGCAAAGAGAACCGTCTCTCTAGAAGATGTATCCTCACGGACATCGATAATCAATCTACCAGAAAAGACTATTCTAAAAAGTATACTCTTAGAAGGTTCAGATACTATATATTTGAGCTCTTGTTAAGCTTAGAAAGTGGGAAGCAAATGTAACCTTGCATATTTTATTTTATTCTAAACACAACCTCAGCTGTGTAAGCTGTCACCCACCCACCACTGGTGGGTTAAGCCACTCACAGCAGAGAGCTGGGGCTCAGTTCCACCTCTCCTAAGCCCAATGCTGTTTGCACTGCTGTCCAGTATCTCATTGACTGATTCAATGCACCTGCCTAGAATGATCCTCGCCATCAATTTATTCTATGGACCTTGCCTTCTACAATTTTCCTTTGGCTTTATCTGTCTTCTCCTGTCTACTTTTCCTGTCTCCTCCTTTTCTGCCTACTTACAATTTAGAAAATATACTTTTCCGTTTTCCCTCAGC